CAACCACAACATCACTATCACAATCACCACATCACTACCACAACCACCACTACCATCACCCCTACCATCCCTACCACCACCCTTACCACCACTACCACCATCACTATTTCCCCACCTCCACCAGCTGTTCGTTGCCACCAGCTGTCCCCAACACAGGCTGCCACTATTAAACGCTGCCGAGGTCTACATTGTGTTTTACTGTGAAGTTTTATCACTATACTCTCTCCTGTATGTATGTATATATGTATGTATGTATGTATGTATGTATGTATGTATGTATGTGTGTATGTATGTATGTATGTACTGTATGAATGTATGTGGAAGCACTTAATGCACTCAAATACCATGATACACTCACACACACACACACACACACACACACACACACACACACACACACACACACCCTTAATCTAACCCTGAAATATTACAGTGTCAATTTTTGCTGTAAATTCTCTATGAAAAAAAAATATACACGTTTGCGGTTGACTTATGGACAAGAATAAGTAAATAATAATAATACAAAATAGCGTTGGTCAGTACTGGATCAGGACAGACACGAGTCGTAGGGTTAGTTTGCATATTTAATTCACATTCTCTGTTCAACTCTAATATTCATTCCCCGATATTTTTTTTTGAGTGCGCCAGGTAGTCGCTTGTGAAATATATTGTAATTTTTAACGTTCAAACATTTCTGCATTTTTTTTTTTAAGTTCGTGGTGGTGGTGGTGGCAGCGGTGGTGTGTGTGTGTGTGTGTGTGTGTGTGTGTGTGTGTGTGTGTGTGTGTGTGTGTGTGTATTATGTGTTATCAATTTTAAGACAATAAATACCTGAACAAAATCCCATCTTTCAACAGATAAATAAAATCCACTAGACGGATAATTTTCCTGTGAACAAAATCTTATTGAAATAAAATCCCATTAAGAAATCTCTCTCTGGATTTTATATTGCAGAAATTTATACAATATATTATATATCTTATTTTATTTTGTCCATTGGAATTTTATACAGTAAGAAAATCACCTGGAGGAAATTAACACAACGAAAAATAAATAGTATTATTTTAGGTGTAATTTTCTCCAATAAATTACACCTGACACATTCTTAAACAAAGTTATGTCCAAAAGGTAATCGTCTGTCTGTAATTTTGCCCAGCGATTAAATTACCCAGTGGGATTATGTCCAAATGAAATACAACTAAATAGGACATCCTTCAGTGGGATTTTGTCCGACGTCAAAAAGTCTGACGGGATTTTGTTCAACAGTAAACAGAGTCCTCTCATTTTAACGCATTAGTTGAAGGTTTAATGAGGATTATTATTAATTATTTGAGGCTTCTACTCTTTAATGAAGCCTCGGGCGGTGTGTGTTGGGGGAGGAGGGATGGGGGCATGGGGGAAAGAGGGGAGGGTATTGTTGGAGGAGATGGAAGGAAGGGGTGTGTGTGTGTGTGTGGAAGGAGGATAACTTGTATGTGGGTGTGTGGGGAAGGAGGGTATGTGTGTGGGGAGGAGGTATGTGTGTGGGGAGGAGGGTATGTGTGTGGGGAAGGAGGGTATGTGTGTGGGGGAGGGAGGGTATGTGTGTGGGGAGGGTATGTGTGTGGGGGAGGAGGGTATGTGTGTGGGGGAAGGCGGGTATGTGTGTGGGGGAAGGAGAGGTGTGTGTGTGTGGGGGAAGGAGGGTATGTGTGTGGGGGAAGGAGGGTATGTGTGTAGGGAGAGGATAGGGGAGTTTTGGGTGAGAGGAGGGGTGTAAAGCTTGGACTAATCTCAACAAAGCTTGACCGGGGGAAGTATTGGGGTGTAAAGCTTGGACTAATCTCAACAAAGCATAAAGGTGTGTAGGTCAACGTTGTCGTAAAGCGTTTGATGGGGGACACTGAGGTGAGGAGGTTCTTCTCATAAAATATTGTCACGGAGGCTTAACGGCCGAGAGAGAGAGAGAGAGAGAGAGAGAGAGAGAGAGAGAGAGAGAGAGGTAAACAGACAAGTAAACAAACACATAAAGGCAGAGGCTAACAGAGAGACAGACAGAGACAAGCAGACAAAAATACATACATTAAATTCCCGGGTTACTTCACATAAATTTACCAGAAGGATTAATACCCGGGTTATATTATCCAGTCCACCAAAAGCATTAATTTCCGGGTTACATTTAGGGGTATGTCCCACCAAACCTCGGGAAGGTGGGACAGCTGGCGCGGGTGTCGGGAGGTGAATTGTGTAGAGGAGCAGCAGCGGCGTTAACTGATGGCCGCATACCACCTGCCTCAACCGGCTCACATTCCCACAGTTGGAGTCACGGAACAACCTGGCACAAGTTCTGAATTAATCTCAAACCACCAATTTAAGTCTTGGGAAATTTATTATAACGAGGGAATGAGGTTATCAGGGTCAGTGTTTAGGTCCTGTTGTTTATAAGTGATAGTGGTTATCAGGTCTTCAATTTAGGTCCTGAAATTCCTGAAAGAATCTCATTAATCGGGTCCTGAAATTAAAAAAAAATCAGGTCTTGAAATTCCTTAAAAAAATCCTATTCAATCTGGTCTTGAAAATCCTAAAAGAATCTCATTAATATCGTGGGCTGTTCCGAGTGCATTTAATTTCGCTCTAATTATTTCATAGCGGTAATATTCCCAGTCTGCCCAGCGCCTGTCCGGTCGTGTCATCGAGTATTGGACATCCCCTGAGGAGGACATGGGCAGGTGACCCTTCCAGTGTTTAATGAATTCATCGCTATTGCAGTCCATATTAATATATATATTGAGAGACAAACAGACAGACAGACAGACAGACACGCTCACGCACACACACACACGCGCAAAGACAAAGAGAGAGTTAGAAGCGTAGACAGAAAAGAAACAGACAGACAGACAGACAGATAGACAGAAACTTCCCCCACCACTTTCTTAAGGTATGATATCATTCCCTGTGATATAAAATCCCTTTTAAGTATGAATTCCTAGGTATTAAATCTCCCTATCATCTATGAAGGTAAAAAAATAATAAGAGTCTATTATAACCCGACATTTTTTTTTCTCTCCTCCCTTCTCCCTTATTATCCTCCCTTCTCCCTTATTATCCTCCCTTCTCCCTTATTATCCTCCCTTCTCCCTTATTATCCTCGTAAACTGCTCCCCGGCCTGCATATAACTCCCCTCGCTCCAGGTGGGCTTAAACACCCCCTAATTTACTCCCCAGTTTAAACCTTCACCTGGTAAACTTTTTTTTTATCCTACGTTCAAGACTCATTATAGAATTTATAGGGTCTTGGGTGAACCATTTTGGGAAAGTCATTCTTGTTTGGGGAAAATAATATAGAGTTGTTTGTAATCGTTGGTGTGTGTGTGTGTGTGTGTGTGTGTGTGTGTGTGTGTGTGTGTGTTTAGAAATAATTATATACAGTAGTAATCATCATATACAGTAAATATCGTCACACAAACTCTCAAATTAAAACTTATAATTCCAATAAATTTACGACATAAACATGTATTTGTTTTTTTAAAGAATAAACATACACATATACAAACAAACACACACATACACTATCAAACACACATACAAACAGAAACACACATCCAAACGAGCATACACTCATACAAAAATATAAAAAACAAACTCACTTACAAACATACAAACACTTACAAGCACAATTACAAACATAAAAACGAAAAACAAAACTTCAAAACACACACACACACAAATAAGAAGAAAAAGGTTTATCTAAATGTTTGTTAGTTTAAGAAATGTCTGCAGAAGGCTGGCTGGTGGTGGGGTGGAGGCGTGTGTCCCAGGAGAAGGAAGGGTAATTAATAATGTACCTGGACGAGAATACCTGAGAGACGCTCCAGCACACCACGTCTCCTCACTCTTTAACACTATAAAGATTGATTGGTCGAGGTGTGGATAGATAGATAGATAGATAGATAGATAGATAGATAGATAGATAGACTGTGTAGTTACGTAGTAGAAAACAATATACTGTACAAAACAAACACACAGGATTATATTAACAAACTAAACGCATAAACATTGACAAAATTTACAAAAGACAGTTACAAACACACTGTAGTGCTTCTATTACGAACAAAAACATTAGTTGTTTCTCTTACTTATGATATACCCTTTCGTGTGGGGGGTGGGGGTGGGGGGGTGGGGGTGGGGGAGGGGTCGACAGAATGGGACAATAGGGATTCGTCCGGATTTATGTTATTGACTTCAAACAATGGGCAGATTTTGGGAGGGATTTAATGGACGATTTCTCTCGGACGAAATTGAATTATTGGGATTCATTTGTTTTATTGTTTGTTTTTGTTTACTGTTAACATATACTCTCTTGTTTACCTTTGTCTTAATTTGTTTACCTAACCTAACCTAACCTAACCTAACCTAATACAAAGAACAAAATACAAAGCTTGAGTATGTCGTCACGTCATGTTGAAGCACCTCAGCATCATTGTCTCGCCTTCAGCTTGATATTAAGTTTTACAATCTCTTATTTCTCTGCACCTCGTCCATTGTTCCTGCATATCATAACAAAGAGTCAAGTGAGTGTGATCATCTCACTCCATCCTCAACACCAGCTCCTCCAACCTAGACAAAGACTCAGTCAATGTCGAGTTTGGAGTGATGGACGTCAGCGCCATCTCTTGTCAGGCTCTCACACTAAAAATATCAAGGTGGGTAGTTCTATCAAGTGCCACTAGATGTCGAGTTATTCGCGCCATAGTTTGTTGGGCTATTACACTATAATTCCAAATTATATTTCCCGCGTTAGGTTTGTGCAGGCATGAATACATCTTAAGTACTAACACCATCTATTATCGGAATCCCAAACTATAACCTCGAGGTATTAATTCTTTCCTATTAGAGTGTCCAGCTGCTATTAACATTAAAACTCTGGACTTTCCTGTTTTAGTTACATGATCTTGGGGGGGGGGGAGTAGTGATGTCTGATGTGGTAGATGCAGTTCGAGGAAAATTTTAGTACTGTTGAAGAGGTCGATCAGCTTACACTCAGGAAAACTTACACCAGACGTCCTACTCGACGGTACTCCATCAATCCACCAACAAGGTTAGTGAGATCCTTTTGTGAATATTTAGTCTCTGATATATTTTTCAAGTTTCCATCGTGTGTAATGGTGTAAGACTGACATACGAGTTAATTTTTCTTGGATTTTGTTTTGTTGTGGTGTAGGTTTGACACTTCTGTTAATTTTCTTTCGATTTTCGTTGAGTTTTGATTCAAAGAACGTAATTCTTTCAGGTAACGAGGAGAAACATCACTTGGAATTTTAGTAACTCGTTAAAATGTCCATAGTATCGTGAGGATTCGTTTGGCTATACGCAAAACAAACATGACTAACTGACCTGTCGTGGGTTACAATTTGGTCATATGGTTCTGGTCAATGCCGTAACACTATTTTGTCTTACCGATTTTTCAATCTATATATTTAAAACACAAAACTAAGTAAAAATTCGGAACTGGATAAAGGTAACTAACTTTTATATCATTTGTTAAACTTTTCAGTAAGATGGGCACTTGGAATTGTTGCTTTTAAGCTTCGGTAACTTTCGAAACCTAAAGCTGCCCAGTGGACCGTTCCTGCAGTTCGTTCCTGCTTAAACCATCATTTAGGGATATACTTCGTCTTTGTTTTAGGATTCTAGATTTGTTTTAACGTAGTTTTATTCCTTGTGATGCGAGGGCAGTGTCTTGTCTATTGTGTAATATTCCAAATCTCTTCTTCCCTTGACCTTTAATATTGCGAGACCACCTATATCTGTTACTCCGGCAGGTGAACATCAGACAATCAAACTGCTAAGCCTTCTTCCTTGTTTTGATTGTGTAAGTTGTAATGGAGATAATGAAATAAACTATCAAGGAACTGGTGAACCTAAATTTAATGTTTGCTTCTGATTTAAGTTAGTTGTTATGAATAGTTTGAAGTTAATGTTGCTGACCATGTTGAACATAATCATTTCTGATAAAACTTTAATATTTTTTTCCCGATTCGATTAAAGTTGTTTGTTGGGTTAGATTATGGGGGTGGCGGCAAGGTTTGGTCGTTATGTTTGGTTTTAGTTTGATATCCAAAAAGTTACCTTGTGTGACCATTAAAAAAAAAGCACAACTTCAGCTGACCTTTGAACATTTCTTCAAAGGTCGCCACAATGTTTTAATTATTTAATCATCTGCTCTAACCTCGCCTCACTGCCATTATAAAGTTGGAATAAAGTCAACTTACCTTCCAATTTAGACGAAGTGGAGGACCAGTTTTATCAGGTCAAGAATTATATCCTTACTTACCAAACAACTTGCCATTAACAGCTTCCCGCACCAAACAAACTCGTTAGAACTTTACAAAAATGTGATTACATTAAGTATTAGGTAAGTTAATAATGTAGTTTAGTCTTGAACAGAACCAGTCGTCTTGGTCGAGTAACAAGACTACTTCACCTTCTCTCTCCAGATGGCGGCGCTGAAGACTTTCATGTTTCTGGTTATACTCATCACTCCCAGGGTGTTGGCTGGCTTGGCGCTCCTTCGTCAGGTAGGTCCTTTTAACAATATTCATCGTGAAAGTTTGAGAAATAAATTATATAAGATTATCAAAAGGTTTTACTGGACAGTGAAGTTGTTCATTTACGTTATATCACGGGTAAGATTACATATACGTTAGTGAAACCTCCATATAACGGACATCTCTCTACATATATATAATCCGTTAGGGAGGGAGGGAGGGAAGTTGATAATTAAATATTTTTTGTATACTAATCTGTTTATGGTGGACAGGGTGGCACTGCTACTGTGGTTGGAGAGGGTGGCACTCGGAGTGTTGGCGGCAGTGACACACGCTTCACGGTGACCACAAGAGACACAGGAACAGATGACGTCAGCCGAGGTGTGGGTCGAGGCCGCAGTAGTGAGGAGCCAGCTGTTACCTTCAGCAACATTGGTCCAGATGTTGGTAGTGGTGACAAGGTCGACCAGGGTGTTGGCAGCAGCGGTCAATTCGTTGGTCAGGGTGTTGGCGGCAGCGGTCAATTCGTTGGTCAGAGTGTTGGCGGCAGCGGTCAATTCGTTGGTCAGGGTGTTGGCAGCAGCGGTCAATTCGTTGGTCAGGGTGTTGGCGCAGCGGTCAATTCGTTGGTCAGGGTGTTGGCAGCAGCGGTCAATTCATTGGTCAGGGTGTTGGCAGCAGCGGTCAATTCGTTGGTCAGTGTTGGCAGCAGCGGTCAATTCGTTGGTCAGGGTGTTGGCAGCAGCGGGCAATTCGTTGTCAGGGTGTAGGCAGCAGCGGTCAATTCGTTGGTCAGGGTGTAGGCGGCAGCGGTCAATTCGTTGGTCAGGGTGTAGGCGGCAGCGGTCAATTGTTGGTCAGGTGTTGGCGGCAGCGGTCAATTCGTTGGTCAGGGTGTTGGCGGCAGCGGTCAGATTCGTTGGTCAGGGTGTTGGCGGCAGCGGTCAATTCGTTGGTCAGGGTGTTGGCGGCAGCGGTCAGTTCGTTGGTCAGGGTGTTGGCGGCAGCGGTCAATTCGTTGGTCAGGGTGTTGGCGGCAGCGGTCAATTCGTTGGTCAGGGTGTTGGCGGCAGCGGTCAATTCGTTGGTCAGGGTGTTGGCGGCAGCGGTCAATTCGTTGGTCAGGGTGTTGGCGGCAGCGGTCAATTCGTTGGTCAGGGTGTTGGCGGTCGAGGACTCGGCAGTAGTCAGGTCAGACGGGTGGAAGCCTTAATCACGCCCACTGTCACCCAGACTGTCACAGTGGACAGGTTCGTGACCTTGACTGACCTGGCCTTCCACAGCGTGGCGGTGACCCTGACTGACCTCAGAGTACAGACCATCACGGTCGGGACACACGCGGTAAGTTGTTGTAGCACGCCATGTAATTAAGTGCAGGTTGAACAATATTAGCACCATTAACTATGGTTGATATAACTACTATAACAAGTGCTATTGATATAACGTTAAACTAGCTCTGGTAGACTTGTTCATAATGTAATGGGTGTCGTATAATACTATAGCATCGGTTGTTAATATAACGTTAAATGTAGCCATATAGGCAGTGATGGAGCGGAAGTTGACCCTATTGGTGGCCACTAATGTTGTTGTCTACAGGTGGTACAAACTCCCGTCGACGACCACGTCGCCCTCCAGACCACGGTAGTTGTCAGGCCCACTTCGGTCACCGTCACTTGTGTTAAGTCTGACTTTAAGTTGGTGACGGATGTGGCTGTAGACCACGTCACCATCATCCACACCTCTTACGTCATCCGTCAGACCACCGTCACCACCCTCGTCACACAGACGTAAGTAGACTAAGCAAGTGTTGTACAGACTTGTATAAAACTGTTATTTTCTGAACTTCCTCTCTGTAGGAAAATTAAGTCTTAAGCTCACTAATTTTAAACTTGTGCTGAAGTTTAAACCGTTAGGTTCGAAGAGCATATTTTAGTTAAAACCCTAACGAGAACTCTTAAACCTAGAATAACTTCTACATCCATTGAATGTTTAGTATAATTTTAATGTGTGGAACTAAATGTTTAGGTCATTAACTAATTTACCTCACACATAACCTCTGAAAAGTTTGTTTATTTATGAATATAGTAGATCAGATGACCAGGTTAGAGTACTGCAGTCGAGTCATTTACCAGATAGTTAATATATTCTTCGGGACAATTAAAACGACATAAGTTAAACTCTCGGTGTGTTTTGTAATGTTGACTCCGGCAGGCTGACCTACACCTCCACGCTGGTCCGCACCATCATCAACACCCAGAGGACCACCTTCACAGACTTCCGCACCATCACAGACACCGTCTTCGTCCCCGCCGTCTACAACCACTAATAGATGCTGTAACCTGCTGTAAATCTATCCATAAGACTATATATGTTACATATTTCCTGTAGTATATAAGACAATAAAAGTTACTCGACTATTGAAGTTCTTTGTGTCTCCACTCGTGTAGGGATTCTATCCTGTAGTAATATTTTGAGAAAAAAGATTTGATAAATTTTCTTCGTTGCTACAAAAATTTTTTTAATAAACATATTTATTTTTGACAACTACACAAGCTTCATTATTGATGCCGGAGGCGAGGAAATAAACATGCTGGTAAACATAGGATTTTTCAGTTTTTCAAAATCTTTTGTATTGGAACACGAAATATTCTCGTTAGAACATTGAAATGAATCTTCAGATGTACTTGCACTGGCCACCAAGAAAATTATTTACCCAAGAACGTGTACTGGAATCGGTTAAATTGGCATTGTTGAGTGTGTAATACTGTGTCGGGAATCTGGATAAGGTGTACGCATTATAGACTAAGTCTGCTCGGTTCACATGTGACATCTTGTCGATTACTTAAGAACTCTGGGATGTCCTCGTACTCCCTGGGGGGATTACTATAGTACTCTTGGATTAAAGGGAAGGGGTCGAGGGATAACCGTATTACTGTTTTGTACTCCTGGCTAGGATAACTACACCATCAATCATTAAATGAGATTATATATATATATATATATATATATATATATATCTCTATTGTGGGCCAAAAACTCCCCCCTGATTAAAAACGTAACATGTGTTTACCTGAACCTTAATATACTACACAGGTAAACATGTCTGGTCTTTGATGTTCTTATGTTATGAAATATAGAAGGAATATTTTAAACTTCAAATGGCTTATTAGAATAAAGACTCGTGTATATTTGTTTGTATTCTTGTTTCTGTTGCTTTATTTGTTTTTTCATTGTTGGTTTTGACTTCTTATTTCTTTCTTGTTTATGTTGGATTTGACCTCATTTACAAGTTTTGTTTCATTCTTGTGCTGATTTTTGGTTTCACTTAAACATTTCAAAATTTTTTCACCCATATGGTAATTCTTGAGTTAATTATGACTCTTATTCAACATTGAAGCTTCAAAAGAATTCCTGTCAGTGTTGGGTATTTAATTACGAAGTTGGAATTTGGTTGAATGATTAATATTTACATAAATGATTAAGGTGGCGTTAGTAATTTAGTAGAGGTACTAAGACTATATTGGGAGTTAATTTTAACAAGTTATTTTAGTTTATACGTGGTTGAGAATTAATTTTATTTACGATTTACACGGAGTTTTATATTGAGTGTTTACAATTTTCCCTAAATTATGAAATTATTAATTTTATAACTGAATAAAAACTAAGTATATAATATCTTATTTACTACTCACTAAAAATAAAAAAGTATAAATTTACAAGTCTTCTCTAGTTATAAAGAAAAGTATTTACCAATTTATTTTCATACGTGTTTTGCTGAAGGATCTTGAAATTGTGTAAGTTAAGAATATAAACAATTATAGGTAAACAATTCTGCTTGTTATTTGTACTTAATGAAGATTGTCAACTAACCCCTTGTGAACGGAGTCCCTTCTGAGCTGAATAAAATCATCTTTCGTTAACCAAATAAAATACCAAAAGTGGCGTCCCTGTAGTGAAGGGATTAAGGAGTAAAGAGTTTTAGTAATGAAGGGATTAAGGAGTAAAGAGGAAGTTTTAGTAATGAAGGGATTAAGGAGTAAAGAGTTTTAGTAATGAAGGGATTAATGAGTAAAGAGTTTTAGTAATGAAGGGATTAAGGAGTAAAGAGTTTTAGTAATGAAGGGATTAATGAGTAAAGAGTTTTAGTAATGAAGGGATTAAGGAGTAAAGAAGTTTTAGTAATGACGGGATTAAGGAGTAAAGAGTTTTAGTAATGAAGGGATTAAGGAGTAAAGAGGAAGCTTTAGTAATGAAAGGATTAAGGAGTAAAGAGTTTTAGTAATGAAGGGATTAAGGAGTAAAGAGGAAGCTTTAGTAATGACGGGATTAATGAGTAAAGAGTTTTAGTAATGAAGGGATTAAGGAGTAAAGAGGAAGCTTTAGTAATGAAAGGATTAAGGAGTAAAGAGTTTTAGTAATGAAGGGATTAAGGAGTAAAGAGGAAGTTTTAGTAATGAAGGGATTAATGAGTAAAGAGGAAGCTTTAGTAATGACGGGATTAATGAGTAAAGAGTTTTAGTAATGAAGGGATTAAGGAGTAAAGAGGAAGTTTTAGTAATGAAGGGATTAATGAGTAAAGAGTTTTAGTAATGAAGGGATTAAGGAGTAAAGAGGAAGCTTTAGTAATGAAGGGATTAATGAGTAAAGAGTTTTAGTAATGAAGGGATTAAGGAGTAAAGAGGAAGCTTTAGTAATGAAAGGATTAAGGAGTAAAGAGTTTTAGTAATGAAGGGATTAAGGAGTAAAGAGGAAGCTTTAGTAATGAAGGGATTAAGGAGTAAAGAGGAAGCTTTAGTAATGACGGGATTAAGGAGTAAAGAGGAAGCTTTAGTAATGACGGGATTAAGGAGTAAAGAGGAAGCTTTAGTAATGAAGGGATTAAGGAGTAAAGAGGAAGCTTTAGTAATGGATAATCAAAGTAACTGATGTGATTCCCATTAGAGAGAGACACTTGGTAGTTGAGTTATTGAAAGACTTTTGCATAAAGACTAACTTACGTACAGGGATAGCAACGATTAGAGGAATATATTTACGATATGTTGTTTAGTTTAAGTGTATCGTTAATAACATATGTTGTAACCAAACCCAACTTAACCTTTCTAGAATAACCTAACTTGTGTAATCTGAGTTAGCTTAATCTACATGAATAAACCTGATTTACCTAATCTAACTATCTACCTAAATTAATCTTACCTACGTAATCTGATCTATCTACGTAATCTAAGTTACTTTACTTAATCTAACACTACTAAATAACACACCTGACACTAACATTCCGACATTACTAAATAACATGGTGTGATACTTACACACCCACACTTCTAAATAACGAACACATCTTACACTTCTAAATAATACACGTAACACCTCTACACATCTGACACTACTAAATAACACACGTGACACTTACACATCTGACACTTCTAAATAATACACCTGACACTAACACACCTGACACTTCTAAATAATACACGTGACACTAACACACCTGACACTACTAAATAACACACGTGACACTAACACACCTGACACTACTAAATAACACACGTGACACTAACACACCTGGCACTTCTAAATAATACACGTGACACTAACAGACCTGACACTTCTAAATAACACACGTGACACTAACACACCTGACACTACTATATAATACACGTGACACTAACACACCTGGCACCACTAATCACCATCACAGTGTCAGGTGATTGTGTGTTGTTTTTCACCACCAGTCAACGTAATATTCTCTCTTCTTTTATTTAGTAATTTCTATGTTCATATCTTCCTTCACATAACAACATCATAACTAACTTTACTTACAAAATACAACAACAGTTCCATACGTGGGTTATACATGGGGTTTCTGAGGCAACACTCAAGGACCATAACAACCACACTAGTGTTCGAACGTCTTGTCGCTGTCAAACGTTGAAGTTATTCTCTTAATTGTCGTATAATATTTTTCCATAAATATTAATCAATGATAATTTGTAAGACATACGTGTTTGAGTTTTTTTTATCTGATCATGAATTGCAGTTGAGATTTATAAAAGAATTAGTTGGTCAATGAAGACGAAGTCAAAGCTCAGTTTTACATTCGAACGGATTTCCCGCCAAAAATGGCCTTTAAATAGCGTGGCTGACTGTTCGAGGTCAGCAGTTGTCAGCACCGCCACCTTTAATCGGTCAGAGTTTTCTACAGCTTCGAGCAGTATACATTAAGGTGAGGAGTAATTTTTGGTGAAATTGTACTTGTTTTATTTTTGTGGGATATGGTGTTCTTTAATTTTGTTTCAATATAGTGTTAATATTAAAGTCTTTAATTTTAAACTAATATCTATGGTTGTTTTGTTTGTTATTTCAAAGTGTTAATATGTTTCTTTAACACTATGATGTTTTATCGTTTTAAAGACGTAGATGATCATAGTCACAAATTTGTGATGAGACCTTATAAACATTATCGTCTTTTCAGATGGCAAGTTTTGTGTCTACACTTTTGCTCCTTGTGGCGGCCTCCCAGGTAACTAGGTTTTTTCATTAACTCTATTCATATTGAACTAGTAACCTACAATGGCATTTGACATCCATAAACATAACTAAATACATTTAATAAGTCGTTTGTTTTTACAGGTCAACTGCCAACAGGATACAAGCCCATACGAACCACATGAAACCTACCCACCTGTAACTATCACCCCAGTTACTGTAACGGTGTTTGTGACGGTATGTAACTTAAACAATATCCTAGTTTTCTATTGGTTAAGTTGAGTACTTAAGTGTTTAACAAGTTTCCTTCTCATTAACTTCATACTCTAATAAATTATATAGTTTAAAATTCCGAAAGTTAATTTGTCTTCGAAAGCATAAAATATTTTACTTAAACAATACTTTCATCAAAATTGTAAAATTCCTGAAACTAATGGTAATTATTAATTTTCTCTACTTAAACAAAAACTAAAGTGGTTTTAACTCGTCCCCCTCCACTTAACAAACTAATAAGGCAGCGTAAGTGTTTTAACGAACACGACAAATTCTTACAATACGTGCTGCGTTTGTTTAATTATAAATATAACTTCGATTTAAGGCATTAAATCGATATTAACATTGACAGGACACGATCACCCACACACTGAGGGAAACTACCACCTCCGACGTGTGGATCACCGACCAGACCACAGTGACGCAGACTCTCACAGCCACTACCACTGACTGGAGCTTCGTGTCCTATCGGCCATCTACCAGGACCTCTGTTATCAAAATCACCTCCACACCCGTGAGTATCTCATCGTTAGGATTCTGTCTTGCCAATGCTTTCCTTGACTTAATTACGAGCAATTGTTTGATTAAATTTACTGATGTCGTGGGAGTGTTAAGTTGACACTGATGGCTTTAATTTTTACACTGACAAACATTCTACTCGAATAACTTGGTACATTAAACGGATTAAGTCTTAATCGGTGTTCTAGTTGAAACCTCATTATGTTAAAACCATATATGTTACAGGTCGAAGTAGTGACTGCCACCAGCTATGTCTACCCTCTGCGTACTATGGTGTCTGAATACACGTCTTTCTTTACTACCACGAGCGTTGTAGAGTTATGGCAGAGCATCACCCACGTGTCGGTAATACACCAGGTAAATAATTATCAATGTTCCTCAATCCACTAGTTTTCGTCCTATATGTAACGGTCTAAGACTTTCTTTAGATATATCAAAGTACAATTGGTTTTAACTTTCTCTAATGCTAGAATCTCTCTAGCTAGTTCTAATTGGCTTAATGGCTTAAACGTCAGGAATTTTTAACTTGAACAATCCCTATTGATGTAACTTGACTGGTATCATTAGTCTTGATAGCTCTCCACTATCGGTTTAATAACCTGAGTAACTTGACTAGCCCACTTCAATAGCATCTAAATTATAAAAGTAAGACAATGATATAAATTGTCTGGTCACATAATTTTCTTTACTTACAAATTCTTAATCCTTATCTCCCACAGGTGCACACGGTACCCGTGGTCAGTACTCAGGAGCTGGTGCAGGAAATAGTCACTACCCTAACAGAGTTCATCACCGTTACCGTCACCTCCGCCTCCCGTTATGGACATAATTAATGTATCCTTGTAATAATTAACTTAATATAAATAAAACTTGTTTTCTGCATCATTCTGGATTTTAATAATGACCTAAAATAAGGTTAAATTATGTACACCACAATGTAACCCGAGCTTTAATCTGTTGCCTTAAATAAACGGTTACCGGATTTACTCTGAACATTAAGTTGACCTACACAAGTGTAAATCAGTAGTTGGTTAAAAAGTTTCAATATAATGATTTTGTTCTACTAAGAGTAGATGTGTAGGAAACGTAACTTCTTAATATTTCTAACCGAATATGGTATAAAGACCTAGTTAAAATTTGAAGATGGGTTCATGTCATAAGACGCTTTAGAAATAGTATGGATATTAAAACTGTCTTAAGACACAAATAGTCTAAATATTAACGACATTGCCAGAACCTAACCAATAGAGCGGTTAAGTGCAACGTATATTAATTTCATGGGCTTCTCCACCCTGTTTACCTGTTTAGATTATAAAGAGGCTTCAGAAATTAATACTCAAAATTTTAAGTTATCAAAATAAGCTCTGAACGCAATTGGCAATATAGCAACTAAGTTTGTTTAATAGATAATTACTTGTCGAGGAAGACGACTGAACTTCTAAGTGGTCCGCAGTGGTATGGGGGAAACTGAGGATGGATTTAAAACTTGACAAAACGAATCCTCTGGTAAATCTCTATTATATTTCCTTGCAAAGATTAACTGCACAACCACCCAATACTTGATATACTTCCTGGAGCCTTTGCAACAAGACTTGGAGGTTTATTTGTTGAACCATTTTGAAATGTATTACTTGTATTTCTGGGACTAATTATTAGCTTATATTCCTTTTAATGTTGAGCCACAACGAATACCAGTAGTTTTATTAAACGATCAAACTCAAGTATGAGAATCGTTTAAGTAAATGGATATTGGTATGTGGTCATAGATGTATGGATTATGTGTATGGACACTTTACTTGTGTGGAGGTGCTATATAGTGAAGTATTTCCTTTGTATCTAATCTTGATTAAACCCACAACACGATTGACTTGTTACCTAACAGATGGATTGTTGCTAGAAAGGAATATTATAATACCCATAAAGTCAACTATAGTATTACCAGAGGAATGAGTTAAGGATCTATCAATAGGAGGATGTATGGAGGGGACACCACGGAATATACAGGGCCCCGTGTCTACGGCCGTTCACTGCCTCACAAACCCTCTTCAACACTAATTAAATAATATTTCAACAAATCCTAAATTATTCCCGTTAATTAATTTCACAACCAAATTTTAGTTGTGTAATTAAATTCCAGCAATGAGGGACTACCGCCAAGCTACACCAAATTAATAATGAATTTAGTTATAATTATTAAGTGCAACCTCACGAGATGTTGTATATAAATAATTGAATTATATATACATTTACTAGTATATATATAGTGAGGCTAAGTTATATAAATTTGTCATTGGCTGGGAATATGATTTTTTAAAGTCAGTTTATTTTTTATTTTCTCTTTTTTTTAAAACTATGAAGAATTTTATGATTAGAAATTATTCCTATTGAATTTTAAGTTAGGTTAGGTTAGGCTAGGTTAGGTTCCTGTTTATTACACGTCTTAAAATATTATAAACATTTACGGTATATGATTAACCTATGACTATTATTGAACTAAAGATATTCAGTTAAATATTTTACCTCACTAATTATGTCTTGATGTTGTTCCTAAATTATCTCTTCTATTTAAGTAACTAATTTAATGTTTTCATGCTCTGTATTTTTTTGTTATTTTATGTATCTATGATGATTGTTTTATATTGTAGCTTAATATATAATGTAAGTCTTTTGTAATGGCTCGGGTGATATGTATTTTGGTTTGGTTTTATGCTGAGTTGACTGACTGACTTTACTGACTTTTCCAACTAACTGACTGACTAACTTACTTTACTGACTTTTCCAACTAACTGACTGACTGACTGGCTGACTGACTTTACTGAGTGACTGACTAACTTACTTTACTGACTTTTCCAACTAACTGACTGGCTGACTGACTTTACTGACTTTACTGAGTGACTGACTAACTTACTTTACTGAGTGACTGACTAACTTACTTTACTGAGTGACTGACTAACTGACTTTACTGACTTTTCCAACTAACTGACTGACTGACTTTACTGACTTTACTGACTGACTGACTAACTGACATTACTGACTTTTCCAACTAACTGACTGACTGATTGACTGACTTTACTGACTTTACTGACTGACTGGTTTATTACGACTGAAGCAGTAACTTGTACCTCGTAATATTGTTTGATAAGCATGATGGAGTTGTTTCTCCGTGTTCAGAGTGTTAGTCAAGCATTAATGATTTATTTTTTTATCAAGCGTGGAAGAAAAGTGTTAACAATTAAGGCGCGAAGGACGAGGGCAAATTATAACGACGGTAGTTCACCCTCGTTACGTGTTCCACCTCTGTTGTTACGACCCAAAGATAATAATTTGTAAGTTTAATTCTGTCAATAAATTACTATTAATATTCTAACGGTTATTTATTATCACAGAAATTATGAATATTACTTTAAGAAATACTTGTACTGATGGATAAGTGAGGTAATGCCACGTCTTTTGTTGATGAATATAGACTGAAAAAATGGGGGGGGGGGTAGGTGGGTGGGGGGGGGTTTAGGGAGGTGAAGGGGGGTGACAGAGTGGGGTAATGGGGGGTGAGGAAGGTGAAGAGGGAGGGTAGGTCGGCCGAGAAAGTCATTCTGTCTTCAGCTTGCAGTTGGGTAACACTCGTCTCTTAGCAAAGGTGATATAGTATAAGTGTTAGTCTTATGGTTGGGTTTTAAAGTGAGAGTTAATGAGTTGTTTTTATTTAATGGGTTTGATATTTAAGTATTATTGTTTCTTGATATTTAAATTGGTTGTCCTGTGAAACAAGGATTGAATATCGTTTAAACTATCAGTTACTTAGTTCGTCTTACAAAGTGTAAGTTCTATAACACAAAGGAACTTTTCACTTCGTATTTTCATACTCGCATGACGTGGTAGTATCGATCTTGCCTCGCAAAACTTTTCCGTAACACTATAATAATTACGATGTTTATTTTTGTACATTCAAACAAATAAAAAAAAGTATCATCCAACCCATGAACCCTGATGCAGAACTCATGAATTTACGTTGTTCCCCCAGATGTGGACGTTCGTGACGACGGCTTTAGCCATCTTGGCGGTTACCCCTACACAGGCCGGTGATCTTCTTCGAAGACCGGTTAGTAATTTTATTTCTCGGATACATACTTGTTGATGAATAACATTATCAAACAATATTACTCCATCAAATTTCTAATCTGATTATTTGTAGACATAAAATTACCAGTGTTCTTCATAAGACGTTACCACCCTTATTTCTTCTCTACAGAATGCAAACATAATCCTGAAGCAAGACTTCCAAGGACCGAGAGGTTCCTTTGTTACTCAAATAGGCGATAGCCCCGTTTTGGGTCCAGACAACACTGGCCGAGGTAGTAGTGGTCGGGTATTTGGTTCAGGTGTCGACAATGACCTGGTTTTTGACTCTGGCGTCGGCAGTGGTCGTGTCTTTGGCTCTAAATCAGGTGTTGGTAGTGGCCCGGTATTTGATACAGGATCTGGGGTCGGCAGTGGTCAGGGCTTTGGTTTAGGTGTCGGCAGTGGTCGGGTCAGTGGTTCTAGATCAGGTGTGGGCAGTGGCCCGGTATTTGGTACAGGATCTGGGGTCGGCAGTGGTCGGGTCAGTGGTTCTAGATCAGGTGTCGGCAGTGGCCCGGTATTTGGTACAGGATTTGGGGTCGGCAGTGGTCGGGTCAGTGGTTCTAGATCAGGTGTCGGCAATGGCCCGGTATTTGGTACAGGATCTGGGGTCGGCAGTGGTCGGGTCAGTGGTTCTAGATCAGGTGTCGGCAGTGGCCCGGTATTTGGTACAGGATTTGGGGTCGGCAGTGGTCGCGTCTTTGGTTCTGGATCTAGTGTCGGCAGTGCCCCGATCTTTGGGGCAGGTGTCGGCAGTGCCCCGATCTTTGGGACAGGTGTCGGCAGTGGCCCGATCTTTGGGACAGGTGTCGGCAGTGGCCCGGTCTTTGGTTCAGGATTCGGCAGTGATCAGGTCAGGGAAGTGGAAGCCTTAATCACGCCTACTGTCACCCAGACTGTTACACTGGACAGGTTCGTGACTTTGACTGACCTGGCCTTCCACAGCGTGGCGGTGACCCTGACTGACCTCCGATTACAGACCATCACGGTCGGGACACGCGCGGTAAGTTGGTGTAGCTCGCCATGTTAAGTGATCCCTGAGTGTAATTAAGTGCAGGTTGAACAATACTGGCACCATTAACTATGGTTGATATAACTAGTTTAACAAGTGCTATTGATGAAACATTAAACTAGATTTGGTGGACTTGTAGATGGTTAAATCATTATTTTGTCACAAGCATTACTGTAGTAACGGTTAATATAACTTGGTGTAGCCATATACAGTAGGCAGTGAGGGAGCAGAAGTTGACCCTATTGGTGGCCACTAATGTTGTTGTCTACAGGTGGTACAAACTCCCGTCGACGACCACGTCGCCCTCCAGACCACGGTAGTTGTCAGGCCTACTTCGGTCATCGTCACTTGTGTTAAGTCTGACTTCAAGATGGTGACTGACGTGGCTGTAGACCACGTCACCATCACCCACACCTCCTACGTCATCTACCAGACCACCATCACCACCCTCATCACACAGGCGTAAGTATAGTGTCTGTTGTCATAGTGTAACAGTAACCCGCCTGGTGTTATGTTTTAACTTGGTATAACGAGTAAATATATTAGTTCTGTTATTAATGGTAAACTGTCTCCCACAGCCTGACCTACACCTCCACACTGGTACGGACGATCATCAACACTCAAAGAACAACCTTGACTGACCTCCGCACAGTGACAGACACCGTGTTCGAGCACGGTACCTATGGTACTCCCGTCTAGTGCCCTCGCAGCGTCCACTAATGCCATCCTTATTAACTGGTCCCTTGTACACCAGAATTTAAATTATAATGTTATATTGTGTACATAGAAGCCTTATTTAATAAAACTTACAATATTACCACAATATTTTAATACCCAATAAAGCTAACTCGGTTTTTTTAGATTTTTCGTTTTTATTCACAAATTAATGAGTAACTTTAAGGTCTAAATCTATTTTATAATAGATGCCGCTAAAGTGTCTGAATTATATTGTAACAAACAATAAGTTTGCGCTCTATGTTCACTTAAAGCGGCTGTAGCTGTAAAATTAGAATTCGCGCTCAAATATTGCCGACATTATGAAATTGCCTCCTGGTAACTTTGCCTTAAGTTTAACAATTCTGGTAATGTACTCGTTAGAAGACTACGTAAGTACCAATGCTACAATCCACTACCTTAATGGTTGGATGGAACTTGTCAAGAGGGGTATACTCCACTAAACATTTGCTTCTGCTAGTGTGTAATTGTCAGGGTACTGGTATAGTAAAAAGCTAAGTCTACAACACCTGGTGTTTTAACTTGCCCAGTACAGGATGGTAAACTAGCTTAAATGAAAATATTTATCCGCTTAATTAAGAGTTTAATCAACTTGGACTATGGTGTAGGACAACCTCAAATGCTGTGATAGAGGCTCTTGGCAGAACATTCCTGGAGTTGAATGTTACTTAATAATTTGAAAAGGTTGGTTATATAAAGTACCACGGCATTTGGTTGTTGCCTTTACTGGACTTTTTACTTTAATGGAGGGAGACTGAGAGTGCTTGATTCACTACGTGCGACGTCTTAACTTTTCGTCTGGTCGTTTAACTGGTGAAAATAAAACCGTGTAACTCCATCTAATCTCCACCTTAAATTAATGGAACGAGAAACTCCGGTTAAACACTACATAACCGTCAGGCAAAGCATGAGCTACTTTAGAACCTTTGACAATTTGTAGCCGAAATTATGAAGGTACACTCGCACAAAAAAGTATCGGTGCAGGGTGTGATCGACGACTTCCGAAACGATACGTACTGTGATATGTCGGGAAGGTTGGTAAGTGTATCCTCATTGACCCCCCCCCACCCACTAGGTGTTGCCAAATGGCTGACAGTGTGTTCTCGGATTGTTGCTTTGTCGACAATGATGAGCGAGGGTTCGGTGAACGTGGGTATAAAACAAGAGGCAATATGAAGCGGTAGAGATCTACACATGGAAACCACAGAGGGAACACGATGAGCTATTATTCCCCTTCATAACGAAGGGTTTGGCGTCACATATTAGCCGGCGGGTTGGTGTCCACAGGAACACCGCTGCACCATGGATTCGGCGATACCTCGAAACTGGTGTTACAGACGACAGGTCTCGGAGCGGCTGTCCACACTGCACCACCCCTCAGGACGACCAGGTTGAGTGGTTTATTTGGAAGCATAAATTAATGTGGCAATATTCACAAGTGCCAATTTTAACGGAGCTCCTTATTTTTCATACTGTATCACTTCCCAACCTTATTTATAACGGTTTGATTCACTTTACTAGGCCATAGCTGCTCAACAAGATTACAGGGCTGCAAACACACGGCTGGAACAACTGGTCTCAAATTGTTCACACTACATTATGAACCGATACTTTGTTGCGAGTGTACCTGTAAATATAAGATTCCAACCGACACTACGAGGTCAGTAGTCTTAAAAAAGTGGGACTAGATTGCGATTAAGTACTAGAATTTATTTTCATTGTTCAAAATCGATGGTATTTTAACATGTAGTTCGCCGGGATATCACCTCCATATACTTATGGGTCAGTCAGCCCACAAGTCTAGACAAGGAACTGTAATCTATCCCGAGAGGGTGACCTTCAGAGGCAACACGATCAAGTTACTAGACCCTTCGTTACTGGGAAGCCCTGACTCATGACAGACCCTTAGGGGGGACGTACGTTTTCATACTAAATTTATACTTAAGGATTTATAGTAAAAAGAATTGTGTTCAGCTTAGTGCGGTTGAAGTGTAAGGAAAAAATATGAATTTTTATGTACACGAGGCGTTCGGTGAAGTTATAATTTACTTAAAACTTTAGAACTTCCCAATTCAGCAGCCAAATAACCAATTATATTTTCTAAGGTTTGGTTACAGCAATATGCTTTATAATTAATTTACAGATATATTAACATACACGGGTGAATATAAAGAAATTATTTTAGAGGAGTCTTTATTTAATATTCCTATCCCAGTTTTACAATTAGCCAACACCGGTTAAACAACATTTAGTGGCGTTATTATCCTAAGTATCCTGTAGAGGAGGTGACGGTAGAGGTCACGATTTGCGTCACTGTCGTAACTATCTCTTGCACCAACTCCTGCGTGGAGAACACTGGCTTTGTGAAGATCTGGGGAAAGATTACAGAAATTTAATATTTCCACGATTAAATACAATAATTTCACAAATTTCCTGCTTCAGAACCACTTTGCTTAAACGTTAATGGTAAAGAACTACAACTGTCTCAAGGTGAAGTATAATTTAACAACATTAGTTTGAAGTAGATGGCGATTTATTTTTTTTTTTACAGCCCAAGTTTATCAAAAATTTCTTGAAGTCATAATAAACTAGACTCGTGGTGTTACAGGTGTGGGTTACCTTACCTGGTGAGCGAGGGAGACGTGAGTGATGCTCTGCCAGAACTCAAGGATGGTGGTTGAGGTGAAGAAGGAAGTGAAGATGGACGTTACAGTTCTTACTGGGTTGGTGAAGGATGTTACGGTCGTTACGATCACCTGATAAATATAAGATACAACATTAACGCCTTCATAACTACAACCAAATTTAACAACTGGAATTCTGTAAAGTATCTTGCATTGCAAGACGTCATTGCCAGTCCAACGAAACCCACCTTATTTTTTTTAATTTACTTTGGCCTTACCGGGGTGGAGGTGACCCTCACTACAGAGGTCCGGGTGTAGGGTTCGGAGGACACAAAGTCCCAGTCGGTGGTATACTGGGTGACAGGGAGCACTACGGTGGTCTGGTCAGTGATCCACACGTCAGAAGTGGAAGTCTCCCTCAGCGTGTGGGTTACAGTCACCTGAGGGGGGGGGGGGTGTAATTATTACGTGCCTTGGTTTATTGGGCAAAATAATTTTATGTAAAGAGTAAGTCCTTTTATACAGTGTTTACAGACGATCAGATAAATAAAGTTATTAACCAATGTCCTGTTAACACTATCCAACAAGCTATCTAGTTACGGAGGCTGTATTATCAAAACACGTTAAGATAATTTCAAAAACTCACCGTCTCGGTTACATATTTAGTGATCACTGTGAAGTAGGGGTCATGGGTGTCGTAGGTGGGAGAGGTCACCCGAGTGTTGTAGGTGGGAGTGGCCACCTGACAACTCACCTAGAAGGAAGGGCAAGAGGTCCATTATAAAGAATTTAAGTCAATTTGTGTTATACCAAGTTAAGGCTTTGTTTTATATTTAAATTGTTTTTTACAAAAGATAAATTTAGGTTATGTTTGAGTGGTTATATTTACCGAAACAACTCCCAAGAACAGAAGAATAACTGCAAACACCGACATCTGTTGGGAAAAATGGATACTTGTAGTAACAAGGAACCATGAAAACGGCCTAAACAAACCAGAGAAATATTAACCAAAGTAATCAATCGCATTAGAAACTATTCAATAAATAAAAGTCCTTTTTTTCACATAAGAACTACAAATCACCAAAAAACTTCAACATTAAACAAACATGGTCTATAATACTCACCTTGTTGTGTGAAGCTGACAACACCTGTATCAGACAAGCAATGGACGGAGACAACGCGTTAGGGGCTGCCGTCCACCTATTTATTAGCCACTTTTGGCGGGAAACTTGTTCGAATGCCCAACATGACTTTGGCTTTGTTTACAATTCAGTAATTTTTTTTTGTCTCTAGCTTCAATAAATATAACCTACATGCGTACAGACTTAAGTTAATAATGAGGAAGGTCTTTATTTTCTTTATTTAAAGAAAATTAAAAGTGTGAGTCTTGCATAATTCCGAACTCAGGACGACACTCAGCCGGAGTCACTGACGACCAAAGGTAATTAAGCCATTACGTAAGAAAGCCGTCCACTGTATCTGGTTGTGGGTTAGATTAGGTTAAGTTAGGTTGGGTTAGAGTAGGTTAAGCTACTACTACTACTATTATTATTATTATTATTTTTAGAACGTGGCCTCCAGCCTCCCCCAATAGCCACACCTTCGCCACCATTTTATTACCTTAATATTAAATATCCTAATACATAAGTAGCTATCCTAGCTGTGTTGAGTTAGTTGAGCCGCAGATCTACGCGGCATTCAGTGACTGTTGCCTCATAGTCAATATCTGCAACTGTTGTCGGCTTTGGGGCCGATGCTCTCGTTCCCCTGAGGCAGAGCAAAGTCGACTGAAGGAGAGAGAAGGAAAATCGACATCTCATCCAGGCTGTAACATAACTTCTGGGCTGCTGCTTCTGTTCGGATATTACCTCCGCGAGTCTGGCGTAGAAACATCTTGCACTTGGTCCCATCCCACCAGAGGTTGTGAACACTAGAGGAGTGAAGCTGCCTTGATCAACGCTTTGAATTCTCTCCCTGTATGCCCCTATCTTGTCGTTCTCGTTCCTCCTGTGTGCAGCATCGAGAGCTAAGTTACGGTGACATGCGGCCATGGGATCAAAAATCCTGATGTCGAAGAAGGCTCGCTGTCCCCGCGTCCAGAATCCTCGAGCACTGACGTCAACACGGGCTTCGTTGGATGTGTTTGAAGTCCTATGTTGGAAAATCTCACCGTCCAATGGAAGGAGGGTCGGTTCTACCCTGACATCACGGCAGATTTCCTTCAACATATTTGCTGTGAGATTCCTTACTTCGTCATGCCTCATGCATATGAAGCCCCCCTTCTTGCACACCATGGCGTGATCGACGTCATAGGAAGAGTCACACACGTATTGGGAGGGCAAACCTTCTACTGGCCTACCGTACCTTAGAACATTGGCATCTGTAAATTCTTGTTTATTGAGACTGAAATCATTTGCCCTTATCGGTAACGTAGTTAACCAGTTCGAGGCGCCCACCTCCTTCGCTATAGCTACTACTACTACTACTACTACTACTACTACTTTTTCTTAAAGTGGCCTTCAGCCTCCCCCAATAGCCTGACCTTCGCCGCCATTTTATTACTTTAAAATCAAATATCCTATTACAACATAAGTAATAATAATAATAATAATAATAATAATAATAATGTGTTTGAAGTAACTCACCATGGAAGGAGGGTCGGTTCTAATGAATTTCCTTCAACATTTTGCTCAATGCCTCATGCATATGAAGCCCCCCTTCTTGCAACCATGGCGTGATACATAGTTTGGGAGGGCAAACCTTCTACTGGCATACCTTAGAGTATCTGTAAATATAATGTGGCCTTCAGCCTCCCCCAATAGCCTGACCTTCGCCGCCATTTTATTACTTTAAAATCAAATATCCTATTACAACATAAGTAATAATAATAATAATAATAATAATAATAATAATAATAACCACATTCAATAATTAAATTGTCAAAAAGGTTAACAGGTATACAGTTCAGCATGAGTATATATAATGTAGGTATACGGTATATATAGATCGTAGGAGTATACACATACCTATGTAATATACCTAGGCAATGCAGGTATATAACAAAGGTTAAACAGTAAGGCAATTTGACCAAGGATAACCAACAAAGTCATCAGATGCGTGTTTCCAGTAGAGCCATCCACCTGAAGATTAACCACCCTAACTAATTTACCGTACAGTCACGAAGAAGAGTCGTGTCGCCTCTCCTGCTACTCTATGAACCCTGGAAATTTAGACTCATGAACCCGAAGCAGCAGACTGACGCATTATTCTGTCTATAAATGTTTCGGATTCACGAGTTTGAATCTTGGTGGTTCATGGATCAGCGGGTGAGGGAGACAGGACTTTTTCATTCGTGACTTGTACTGCATATCAACTAAAGTCCTTATAAATATGTTTTTTCTTTGATCATACAGTAAATATACATAATTTTAAGAGATTTACGTCTAAGATGGGGTGATATAGAGGCTTATTATGACACCAAGTTGATATACGAAAATTGAATTATGTCAATGGTGTGGTTGTTAGGTGTGGGTCGGTCGTTACATCACAGGAATATTATATACGGGTTATTACTTTTACTCTTATAGTCATTTTTAGATAATAATATGTAACTCATTCCTGTAACTTGGTTAGGTTATGGAAACAAAATTGATTTATGATTGGTTAAGGGTGTGTGGGTACTTGAGGGAGAGGGGGGGGAGGTAATGGGGGTGTGGGGTAATAGGGGGGTGGTGGTGGTATGGGGGTTGGGTGGGGGGTAGAGGGATGTGTGGGTATAAAAGGCGAGGGCACCGGGTCAACGTCGTCAGTGTGCGCCTCACCGTTATCACGTTAACATCTCTCAACTATAAAACTTTCTTTGCAAAGGTATTGGGGTTTATAGGGTTTGGTGTTTTAGTTTATTTTAGTTATGTTTTAAGGTTTGTGATTTTATTGGGTTAAAATTAATTAGTATTGTAACTTCATTGCAGTAGTTTATCTAATTGAACACGACTGTTTACTTCAAATAATTAATAGAACATAGTGGTTGGCGTTAGTGTACTATGTACACTCTCTTTACCAGCTTACTAAAACTAACCACATTCGAGGTAAATTTTTAGTCCTTAAATTGCTCTACCTTAAGTAATTTTAAGAAATTAAATAACTTTACTTCCTAGAAGTTTCCTGCACTTGTATTGACTAAATCTAACTACTGTAATCGCACATCGACTACACTTGAACCCCTTGAATATTAAAGATTTCTTTAACTTGGTTTGCTGTTCCTGTTATCTTGTAGAAGCCTTTACGTCAACTACTTCTTAATTTTAATCCGTATTATAAATTCCAGATGTCTTGGTCAACGGTGTTCCTGGCTGTGGTCTTGTTAACAACCCAGACGACGTCTGCGGATAGACCAGTAAGTTTTTTACACCAATATATTTTCTAAGCGTACATAACTCCATGACCAGCAACAGTAGCTCGTATGAATAACGTCCTGTAATATTCTAACTTCTCAATTAATCAACTATAGATATATCATCGGATTGACATCTTAAGTCATGCATTGTTTATGGTTTTGAAATTCGTTTCACATCGTTTCAAAAGTATATCTGCATTATTTTCTCCCCAGCAGAGACCGAGAGGAGTGGTTAGCGGCACCACTACAGGTGGTTCTACACCAACCTATGGAACCCAAGGCTCTACCGGAGGACAAGGCTCCACCTTTGGCACTGGTCAGGGCTCTACCGGAGGACAGGGTAGCACCTTTGGCACTGGTCAGGGATCTACCGGAGGACAGGGTCCCACCTTTGGCACTGGTCAGGGCTCTACCGGAGGACAGGGTAGCACCTTTGGCACTGGTCAGGGATCTACCGGAGGACAGGGTAGCACCTTTGGCACTGGTCAGGGCTCTACCGGAGGACAGGGTAGCACCTTTGGCACTGGTCAGGGCTCTACCGGAGGACAGGGTAGCACCTTTGGCACTGGTCAGGGCTCTACCGGAGGACAGGGTAGCACCTTTGGCACTGGTCAGGGCTCTACCGGAGGACAGGGTAGCACATTTGGCACTGGTCAGGGCTCTACCGGAGGACAGGGTAGCACCTTTGGCGCAGGTGGGGTCTTTGGCGGCGGTGTGTTTGGCTCAGGTCTCGGCAGTGGTCAGGTCAGGCGGGTGGAGGCCTTGATCACGCCCACTGTTACCCATACTGTCACTGTGGACAGGTTTGTGACCTTGACTGACCTGGCTTTCCACAGCGTGGCGGTGACCCTGACAGCCCTTGGAGTCGAGACGGTCACCGTCACTAACTTGGAGGTAAGTGTAGTGTTCCATAACTATAAAGAAGGTTGAACAATACTGTTGGCATAATCTGTTGACCAATATTGGTGGCCACTAATGTTGTTGTCTACAGGTGGTACAAACTCCCGTCGACGACCGCGTCGCCCTCCAGACCACGGTAGTTATCAAGCCTACTTCGGTCACCGTCACTTGTGTTAAGTCTGACTTCAGGCTGGTGACTGAGGTTGCGGTAGACCACGTCACCATCACCCACACCTCATACGTCATTCATCAGACCACCGTCACCACCCTCGTCACACAGACGTAAGTATTGCCTACTGTATATACTGCTTGATGTCTGTTTAATGGAGATAATTTGACCACTTACTTCCCCAAGATCTTTTAGTATTTGGATCCTTGGTTTTAGGTATTTCATATTTTTATTAAATGTTCAACCAATGCTTGGATTTTAAACGGGTAATTTTCTTTTTTTGTACCTGCTGGTGCAATTCCGTATAACAGATAACGTTCATAGGCGTTACTAAACCTTCATTACTCCCTGACAGACTGACCTACACCTCTACTCTGGTGAGGACCGTCATCAACACTCAGAGGACGACCTTCACGGACATCCACACCATCACCGACACAGTCCTCGTCCCTCTCGCCTACAACTAGATGTGACCAACCTTCACTCGTACATATTTAACGTCCAAGACATTGTAAATTTAAACAATAAATAATGCTGCAAAATTACCTTCTGTGTTTGTCTAGTACATACTGTAAGAAAGGTATCACGCAGGGTGTCTTAACTTCCGTAATGACCCATACATCCCCTGAAGTGCCAGAAGATTGGCGTGCGTTCCTGTATGGCAAAGGTTTCCACCTACCAAAGACCGGGCAACATACGTGAGGACACCCTCGAGCAAGGACCGTAAGACTTCCTCCATAACGCATGACCATCGTGCATATTCCACTATACCAAGTCTGTTATAAATGTTACACAAGCAATCCGTGCGGTATTTTTTTTACGGAGCACCTCTTGAAATGGTCCATAATGCGTTTAAAAAAGTTCCTGTTGGTGAGCCAGTCGCTGCTTGAATCGACCAGAGGTACCAGGCGTTTTGACTTGATTGTTTAATAGTTGTAAGGTATGGGAACTTCCCCTACCCTAAAGGTATCTCTTGGAACACGAGTGTAATATTTACTCTACGTTATAAAATACTAGTTTGTTCCTGGGGATTTGGATATAACTAAATTATCTAAGCAGTTTTCTATTAACACAACCAAACTGCTGTTAAGAGGTCTAGCAGAAGGTGGTGTAACCGTGAAGAAGTTGCATTTTTTACGCGGACCAAACTAGGCATTAATCATAACTGCGTCACTAGACTAATAAAGGAGGCCAAACTGCCCTATCCTTCACTATAATTTGCATTATTAAACAATGGTCGCGCAAAGCTTCACGAGTCTTTGCCACGAAACTTGGAACTATGCCATGAGCTCAAAACGACCTTCACACCGCGTTGTAACCAAATGAATCTCTAATTCGAACATAAAATGTAAGTTCATTACTTTCTGTAGCTGGAATCGCTTGAGAAACCATAGTTACTGATTTGAGGAACTTAGTACAGTACAAAAAATTCATCCCCGACGTTACATACACCTGACCCCCTCTACTGTTCTCGGTTCAGCTTCTCCAACCTTGCTGCCTCGCCTCACTTCCCTTGCTGGAGAGTAATATAATAGTGAAGAATAAACATTCCTTCCCCACGCTTCAAAATATTGTGCTAAGTGTCTTAAGAATAATTGTCAAGGTGAGGGTAGGCTTATAAACATTGTTGGCAGAAGTTATGGACGAAAATAAATGGTAGTTGGTATTGTGTACGGAAGTTGTAATTTGGCAGCTGATGGTCCTTAACCTCACCTGATACTTCACCTGCCTCTACCTGCTGAAAATAGTGACTTTAGTGACTTGTTTTAATTATCAGGTAAAGGATATTGCTGTAGGATAAAAATATAGAATATTTCACTCAATAAAAAAAATCCCCGTACAATATATGTATGTACCAATACAACTTAACACTGAATGTTACACCAGAAATAGTTAAAAAAGTTTCTCCAAAAGTAAAAGACTAAACTCTTCATCACAACATGTAGTTTATATTCTAATCTTAACAAAGTCGGTGGTCCATCGCTTACTGCCAACGCGAGAGAAAGCAGGTAAAACCCATAATCGGATTACGTTAAATTGAAAAGCTATTTACTCGGATCTTTCCAAAGCCTGAGTTGGTTTAGTGTGGAGCTCGCCTGCTCTTGGCTATTAAATCTCCAGGAATATGTTAGTGGAGGTAATGTACGTGTACAGTCTAGCCTCAAGGTTTACCAGAGACCCTCCCCTTATCCCCCAACCCTTCACCCCCTCACTCCTTCACCCCTACTCCTCATCCCTTCACCCCCTCACCCCTTCACCCCCTCACCCCTTCACCCCTCACCCCCCAACACATGCGATCACTTTGTCTCAATTTATATCCACGATTTTTAACCCTCAAACTTGTGATTATTTTATAAGTTTTGAATAATCTTTTGTTTCTGTTGCTGTAATACAAATAAGAGTTACCATTCTATTTATACCTAGGGAGTGCCAGTGAATGTCAGAGTGCTAGTGAGTCCTAGGGAGTACCAGGGAGTGCCAAGAGTTCAATAGAGAGACAGTGAGTGTCAGGGAGTACCAGTGAGTCACGGGGAGGATTAGGAAGTGCTAGAGAGTGTCAGTAAGTTCAGGAAAGAGATACTAAGTGCCGGGGAGTGCCAGAAAGTACCAATAAGTACCAGGGAGCCCCAGTGAGTACCAGTGAGTGCCAGGGGTGTCAGAGAGTACCAGGGAGTGTCAGGAATTATCAGTGATTGCCACCGAGTGCCAACAAGGAGTGCCAGAGGGTGCCAAGGTAATGCAGTATTATATAACATGTTAGGTTCACTTCGTTTAATTAGTTTTGTATTAAAAGGGAGAGGTGTTTTAACCCTTTGAACACGATGGTTTAAGTCATCATCTCACGGGATTAAATCATTATCCTCAAAGGGCTAGACCAGCTATCTTTCTTGTATAATTAAAACATTATCCAGTTAAAGCTTCATCATCAAAGGGTTAAAGATCGCTTGTGCGCGTGTGTGAGTGTCCGCGTGTGTGTGTGCGTGCGTGTGTGTGCGTGTGCGCGTGTGTGTGTGTGCGTGTGGTTCACCTTAACATCTAATTTACATATCCTATCAAAAGTTCCTTATAATTACCTCACCTATTCTATTATACCACAACATTATAGAAGAAACGTAGAGCTCTTACAGGTAAACTCTCCGTATGTAATTAATATGTCTAATTACCCAGGTATAATAATAAAAGTTTAATGGGGTGTTTTAGGCGACGATTGAATTAACAGTTGGGGGTGACTAGTTAGCCTGCCCTGAGTACTATGATAACACCCTGAGTACTATGATAACACCCTGAGTACTATGATAACACCCTGAGTACTATGATAACACCCTGAGTACTATGATAACACCCTGAGTCCTATGCTAACACCCTGAGTACTATGACAACACCCTGAGTACTATGACAACACCCTGAGTACTATAACACCCTGAGTACTATGATAACACCCTGAGTACTATGATAACACCCTGAGTACTATGATAACACCCTGAGTACTATAACAACACCCTGAGTACCTCAGTAAGTATGATATCTTAGCCTGCCAGTACAGTAGTATAATAAATTACCTCAGTAAGTATGATATCTTAGCCTTTTGAGTACAGTATCTTAACCCCTTGAGTACAATGGGTTAATCCCCCTTGAGTACAATGGGTTAATCCCCCTTGAGTACGATATCTTAAAACCTCTTCCCTCAAGCGCAGGATTAGCAGGTTTATCAAAGGATTAAAATCTTCTACGTCTATTTAATTTTTCTATTAATTGTACTGAAAAAATTATTATGAAAATGTAAAAAAAAAAAGACAAATAAATTAGGGTTTGTGATATGACTCCACCTGTTTGTATTCTGTAGAGGAACACGACGATGAAGTCTAAAATTATCAAAATGCAATTATCAATGTTTGGAATACTAGTACCTTGTTTATGTTCGGTTCGTCTCCACGCTATGATTGTTCTGTTAAGTAAATGTTGAGTTACTTATGAGATATATATAATTTTGGTGTTATTTATAAACCAGAAAATAATATATATAATACTTGAAATATAATAATAGTTTATGGTTAGAATTATAGATGTTTGTAGCTATATAGGAAGACAGAAGTCGGAGCCATTTTATTCGTTCGAACACTTTTCCCGCCAAACTGAGTATGTAAATAGAAGGGCAACGAAGTGAAGTTATCCTAATCTACTGCTGTATTCAAGCTGGTAACATCAACTCCTCACATACAAGGCAGGTTTTTTTTTTTATTTATGTGTAGTTTATTATATATTTTGGCAGTGTTGTAATACGTGAAGTCATTTAGTTATTTAATTTTGTGTTGTATGTTTTTATATTTTGGTTATATTAAATCTTAGAAACGTGGGTAAAGTACTAGTTTTCATATTTTAAATCTTATTAATTGGTTTTGGGCTTCTTCATGTTAATCCATTAACGGGTTTATTTGAAAAATAAAATCGCTGAACAGTTTGTGGGTATGATTATTTGAAGACGCCATCAGTTTTAACTTAAAATTTCTCAAAAAATCCACTATTTCATAAGAGTTTCTATATAATTGTAATAAATCAACCTATTATACTGTTATGTACTTTCGTTCGTTTAGCTTTAGCAGTAAATATTAAAATGAAACTTACTCATAGATTTCTTATAAGACTTGTTTAACAAAATATCACTCCTCAGAGTTCAATAGTTTTAACCTAAGATCTTTATCTTGCGAAACTCGGTTGGTTAGTTATCTTTACTTAAACGTTCATATTTTGACTATTGATGGATAATTTCCCGTAAATTTGTATTGTCTTTATTTTTTGTAAATTAATTTTGTAATCTAATTCCTCTTCAGATGATAGGATCAGTGTTCGTCCTGGCTGTGGCCGCGTGCCTCTCCCTGGTGAGTTCTTATTTATTTTATGATAAATCACTATTGCCACTCCTGCGGAACGGCAGGAAACGGCCTTGTCTACATAACGCTAGACCTGCAACCCTTCTGTAATAAACCCATGGGTAGATAAGTCTTCCATCTATTTTCGTTAATATAACTTGGCTCCTACATATCGTGAAACCTAAACCGATTAAATGAAATAAGCAGACAAAAGTTAGTATTGAGTATTCAAATTAGTTCAGACACTGTATATAAAATAAACTTTGATTTCAACTTCAAAGAAAATCCCTTCACAATGCTTATCCTGCTGTCTCGAGTTGCCATGACTTGCTCAGATTACTGAAGAGATATTATGGTAGTCCTTAAATACTGAACTTGAAACAGCTTTATGCGGATTGTTAAACCTTTGTTATTTTTAGTTCACTTTAATTCAATGCATTGGAGAATGTAACTAGTCCTAAACGTCCGGTTAATTATAAATTACCCACTTTTGTTAAAAGTGTAGTCTAAAATTAACATTAAATCGGAGGCTGACAATGTTTTAACGTCTTATATTATAGGTTAATGGTGAAGACTTTAAGCCCTACCAGAACTATATCACTACGCCAGTCAGCGTCCACACCAGGACAGTCACCGTTACTGTGAGTACCGGACTGTTTTACCTCTAGCTTGATGTATTGACTTGTATGTTGCTTTATTGTAATACAGATGGAATAAGCTGAAGAGCTCTGTCCACTTCGCCATTGACTTCATTAATTAATAAACCTTGTGTAGTCTTCGTTCACGGGGTGGGAGGTCACCTATGTTTATTTAACAGGCGACGGAGGTCCACACGGTGAGGTCGACGACAACACGGGACGTGTCTGTGACAGAGACGACTGTGGTGAACGTGCCAGTGACGGTCTTTGTGACGGTGAGGGACTTTGTAGCAGAGCAGCCCAACACCGTCACCTCAGTCGTTCGCGTCACCACTACAGATGTGAGCATTATTGGACGCTGGTTTTGGGGGTCTAAAAGCGGTGGTTTACAGAAGGAAATTGGTTTTATGTTCCTGGTATTGTAGATGGTTATTGTTAATGAAGGATAAATTAAATGTTTAATTGGCAAACCAAATTAATAGATGAGCTTTGATATTGGATTGTTAATAGAAAGATCTTTCTCTCGATAACTCTTGGTGTTTAAATATTTTAGTTAACGCTGAATATTCGTTAACTGTAGATATTGTCCACGGCAGGCTCTCGTTCCTTAAGGTTTTGTGATGTAATAATTTTCATATAGATAACAAAATTTACTAAAATTGATTAACTCGACGAACCTTAGAGCCTTTTCAGTATTCGCACTATCCAGAATTTAATCTCTATTTACATAAGCGATAAGACGTTCATGCTGGGGTATAAAGTTTACTTTAATTAGGAAACTTTAACAATATTTTATGCCATTGATGTAAATGGCTAGACTCGAGCCCTTAACTCTTCCTTTGGCCGCTACCAGAAACTGTTCAGGAACAAGTGGCAGTCTGAAAGAAGGGAACCGTACCTATTTATTCCTTCCTTCATAGGATGTTACAGGTTCTTCTGAAGTTCAAGATGACTAGGAGTATTTAGAACACGCTGCGCAGGTGGTAAAGTTAACTAAAGATAGAGTAGGAATAGTTAATTAGTTTAATCAAGCAGGTGATGGTAGGAGTTGGATGGTATCTTGAACCCGTCACAAGGCAGGTGGTACAACTCGTGTAAACCTTCCTTACAGCTGGAGGTGAAGACAGTCGTGGCAGGGGACTACCGCGTGAGGACGGTGTTGTCTGTGTTGACCAACTTCGTCCCCACCACAGAGACTGTTCAGCTCGTGGAAAGCATCACGCACTTCAACGTGGAGACTCAGGTGTGTTGAATATTCTAAGGCCGTATTATTAAACATCTTCCCTTGATGAGGGTTTTAGTGTTTCAACCCGAGTTTTAAACAGTCCTGAGGGACACGGCAGTACTGTACTTAACGGGGTGGTGTGCCGGTAAAATTGACGAATTCCAACAATTAATTTACAATATTAAAATAAGTTAATTTTACCGCCACACCACCCCGTTAAGTACAGTACTGTGGTGTCTCTCCGAACTCGTTTAGTTTTCAACTCTGGTTGAAACCCGACGACCCTCTAGAAGGGAAGATGTTCTTTAATAATCTGGGCGTTAGGATGTTTAAGTTGATCTACAGTAAACAACTAGAGTTCAGTGTTGGAAAAATGTATCGTCTACCAGACGAATGAGCATTAACGTTAGTGCCAAAAGTTCTATAGCCTCCTGTTCCACGAACCCCGGGGCTTATAGTCGTAAACCCAAAGCGGTAGACTAACGGATTATCTATAATACTTGAAATTGGTCCGAATTTGTTCGTGGTTCAGGAGGGGCTACGGGACTTTACCTGCTCGAAGTTCTCTTCACATCCCTTATTTGCCTTGATAAATGTTTGTCCTCCGGCATAATTTAATTGATTCTTAAAGTTTAAAATTTGACAATACATAAATTACCATCCAGATGTTCTCTAGTCCTGAAAGGGTTTAGGTATTCTAAACGTTCATGGCTATTAATGACAAGTTTAATTATTCTTTAAATAACTCTAGTAGAGTTCTTGGTGTAATTGGTCTAGTCTTGTTGTTTGTATGCTGAATTAAATCTAATGTTGTTAATCTTGCAGGTGGACACTGTGCCGGTACAGATCACGGAGAACATCCAGCAGAACATTGTGCTCACCACCACCCAGCTCATCCCTACCACCATCACTTCCACCACCGGATATTATAACTATTAATGACTTGTAATTTCACTTTATAAACTTGACCTTTAGTGTTGGAATAAACGGTCTCCTTTCACTAATATTTTCTATCCATAACTTGTGATAACTCCCGCTCGCTGTTGTATGGTTAACTAGTTCATGCCCTGACTGTTCACTCGGCTGTAAATGATTACCTAACTTCAGGCCAGGAGGTGTAGTGTCGCCCACATGCTACCTTGAGCCCCCGAGGCTTGGTATTGTACGGCGCTGTACTTCCACTCTCTCCCACCTGGTCAGTGAGACTATAGGACTTCTCTTGTATATCGTGGCAGTGATGCTGGACCACTAAAGTTTTTGGTTAACTACAATAGGAAATCTTGCACCTAATAGAAATTATTTCACTAAAGGTGTGGTGTACTGTACAACCTGCTATAAGTACAATGCTGCTGCTAATAGGGTGAATCTCGACTACAGCAGCCTCTTAAGAGCACCTTCATAACCGTATGCTAATTCCTGGAACAGAAGGGCCTGCTGGTACATTATAAATGTGTAAAGCTCTAAGGTTCTGAATCTCCAACACTACGACTGGTGACTGAACTGTATAGTGACCACGTATACAGTTCTTGGAGGACAAGGAGGTTTAGTTGCTTGGGTGAAGGGCCTACGACTGACAATACAAGACTTGATTAGTTCGTACTATCTTAAGAAAAACGGGTTTACCCATCCGGTTCGTGGTACTTCAGTATATTTGTCAACGGTTGGATAAGTTGCGAGCGCCCTAGGATCGACCCATGGATCTTTAAAGCCCCGTCCACACGATCGAGCAGTGCCCGGCAGGCTTTGCCCATTTACCAGGCAAAGCATGTGTTGTTGTACACACGGGGGTGGTTGGCGGCAGTCATAGTAGGTGGTCGGCGGGTGCGGTACGATCACCGTGGGTGTGTCGCAGGGAGAATCCCGGACAGTTAAAGCGAAAAGCATAGCATTGTGTACTATAAGTGCTATGTGAAAAATGGCGAACCACATGCATAAAAGGGAATAGTGCAAAGAGTGGTTAGGTCGAAGAAAAGTATTGAAGTCCTGCCCCGATTTTACGTGAACTGTAAGATGGACATGAGCAAGACTTGTCCAATTACATGAGTGGCCCTCGACACCTTTTACTAACTTCTAGCGAAAGTGGAACCAATATATAAAAGGATACCAATGTGAGAGTATATTTGCAGAGGTCTCGTCAAGAGGCAACGCTCATATCTCTCAACTGGGTGCACCTACACGTCACTTCAGTATGGAACGAGGATATCAAAACGGTTTCTCGCTTACCTGCAACTTGTCAAGCCATGTATGAAGTACTCGAAGATTACTTGCAGGTGAGATTTGTAGTACATAAAAATTCATTGAATGTTAGAATTATGTGCGTAGACAGGAAGCTGTGGGACTACGAGTGAGGAGAGCAGAGTCGTCGGTCCATATCCGGCAGCAAACCACCACGGGCACTGCGCTGATTTGCCAGCCAAATTTGCCCGATAACGGGCATTTAGCGAGTGCCCGCCGGGCACTGCTCGATCGTGTGGACGGGCCTTTAGGACAGGCGTTGTATCCACTCGGCCACCTCACACTTCAACGTAAGATACGATATGATGTAGGCGAGCTAGGTGTGAGGTGAGGTGGTGCTGGCGGCCCACAATCACTAGTTTATATCTTTTGGCTTAACTTTAATGTCCTGACCAAGTTGGCGAGAGAAAACGAATGTTCCCAGAGTGCGAGTCACACAAACTCCGGTAAATTATTATACTTTGTTCAGCGGTGTGTGAGAAACTCGTACACAGTCTTTATTGTGAACACAGTTATGAATTTCTGTAAAAATGGGTTTACCAATATCTGGCTTACCTAGTTTATTAACCTGGCGGCTTTCACGTCTGCCTCACTTTGGGGGGGCGGAGGTATGGGGTGTTTGGTAACGTGTTCTCATAATTAACGTCATCACCTGCGGCTTACATAACAGCTTTAGTGACGCTGTAAGTTGATTGTTTATAAAGCTTAATATTCAGGTGATTAAAGTGAGGTAACATTTTATTATTTAGTGCGCGTGTGTGTCTTGAATAAACCCGGAGCGGAGAAAAATCCCTTCAAACACTGTATAAATGTTATAGTTTATCCAGAGAGAAGAGTAACTGTCATCCCTCCTAGCAAAACCTGAGGACAGACAGACGGACAGACAGACTACACCCAAACATCAAATTACAAAACATTACACAAATATTAAATACTTCCTCTACTTGTTTTTCAGTGAAGTATATTGACTTTTCTTCCTAAATCATCAAGTACACTCATTCTCCTCCATAAAAACATGCTTTAATATACACCCATACACATCCATACACACTCCTACACCCATACACATTCATACACCCATACACACTCCTACACCCATACACATCCATACACTCATACACCCATACACACTCATACACCCAGGTACACACATACACACTCATACACCCATATCCCTCCTCGATATACTGTACCATTATATATTTTTTATGTTCCAAGTGTAAATATACTTTTCCTCTTACCTGGGAAAAATACTATTTAATTATTCAGAAAATACACATCTATACACCCATACACAATTACTTGATTCACTGCTGTATTTTTTCACCCAAGTGTAAATATTTTGCTTCCATTCTATTTGGTTAGAGTATACTTGAACGTCTAAGTTGATAAATATACATACACACGTTATATACGCTACAGCCATAGGTCATATACACTCGCCGTAGGTGTACACACTTCCTACCACTCGACCATAAACATTCCTTCTTGCTTTCCTAAGTTCAATAACCCTGATGTACTTTTTTTTTCCTCAGATCTTCTTACTCGCACACCATTCGGACTGGGAGGTCACCACTAGCCCGACCCGAATGTCTGTCTGTCTTGTCAGCCAAGCTGACTCTTTACTCAGCGTTGAGTCATGACGACGACCCGATTGGGTCATCGTCAAGCTCGGTTTGCCAGCAATGCTGGCTCATATCTCACAATGAGCCTGGTAGGGCCATCATTAGTCGGACCTTCTTCAGAGCTCCGAAGGCGACTTCCCACCTAAGAGCTTCGATGTAGACTGATAATTAATTTGGTGGTGGTGGTGATAATGGTGGTGGTGGTGATAATGGTATTGGTGGTTTAAATTATGTCCCGTAAAAGTTAGAATATATATTGTGTAGTAATAATAGTCCACACAAACAAGAGCAACTGCTATAATCGCTATTCTTAACAAAATCCAACGTTACATAAACCAGCTGGCCAAACTGCATAAGTTTAATGAGAGGAAATTATCAAATAATAATTGGAACCAAAGTTTAAAAAGTTTCTGCATTTACTTGTGTAATTATATGAGGTCACTTCCTCTCTCTGCTGGGGTCATTACCTCTCTGCTGGGTCATTAGGGGATAATTTAGCAGTAGTTCTTAATGATGGAGGTAAGGGAGTCGTCTAGCTATCTGTAACATCAGGTAATGTGGTTATTTGCTCACCACAATTGTAAAAAATAGTTTTTTTTTTTTAGTTTTAGAGTTTTTTTGTTTGATAGCTTGTACCAAATAAATAAATAAAATAAAATATATATACGCACAGAATTTATCACTTGACTTTTTCAACATTTGTGAATTTGTAAAAAAAAATAATATTGTCATTTTGAGAATTTGCTTCATGAATATTTTTCTTCTTTTTAAGTTAAATAACGTTAAATAACAAAGAGATTGTAAATAAATAAAATCCTTGGAATTAAATTTGTTTCAGTATACCACAATTATTTTAAGCTCGTCTCTATGTTAAATCTATAGGATTAATTATCTCTATAAATTATCAATAATTCTGAGTTATATTTCTCATAAAGCCGAGGGATTAATTGTCCTTATAAACTGTCATTTACTTCAAGTCTTTATACCCCGCCTGGTCTGTGGGACTAATAATGCCTGGGATCTATTTCAGTCGTCTGTGTTGTCTGTGGACACTCCTTCGTCATCTCCTTGACATATACAATATATTTCTGCCCAATAAGATTTCACTTAATATCTTTAGTTTACATATTTCAGTTGATGTATATTTTCCTCTCTTATTTTATTGCCAAGATAACTTTAGTCTTAAGATTACCTGAGTTAATTAACCTGAGACAAGAGCCATACAGGAGAGTAATCACCTGGAGTGGATCATCTTAATTAGCGTCTTGAAGTGAAGTAATTTACCTTTGTTGGGCTATTTTATGGTATTTTCATTAGACGTAAAAAAAATGGATGGGATTTTTTGGCCTTGGAAATATTTTGCTTAGTAATTAGCTAGTTAACTGTGCATATCAAGCTCCTCTCAGTAAATTAGTGAGACAGACACACAGTACTGACAGCCTCTAAGAACCGAGTAATTAGCACCCGGAGATAAATGCAATCCAATCAAATGTACATTATCTTGACTAATGAGCCGACTCGAACATTTCTACCAGGTATTATTCAGGTTAATTTTAGTTGAGGGTAAGAATTAACAATTATACTGGTAAAGGGGATAAATTTCAACACCATAACCCAAGAACACGGGATCGAGGACATATTTTTAATTGATATCAGTATTCGTCATCCTGCTGTTGTTTTTTGTCACTATGATATCATCCGAGGCTGGAGGTGGTGTGTCTGGCGCGTCATACAAACCCCCGCTTCCTCAGGTCAACTCATTATCACCTAGCTGGGTAACAAGGCTCTTGGGGGGGGGAGGGGGAGGGCTTTACCGGTACAGTGGCTGGCTTAAGGGGAGGGAGGGAGGGAGAGGAGGGTCAAAGGAGAGAGGACTGGAGAGAGGGAATGAAGGGAGATTGAGAGGAGAAGAGGGTAAAAAAGAGAGGTAAGAGGGAAAGGGGGATAGGAAAGGAGAGGAACAACATTACAATAACACTCACACTCACGGACACAAACCGATAACAATACCCTCTCCCACCTCAACCCTGATAGAGAGTGGGAAGACGGAGCCTCACATAAAAAAAAAAAAATATTACAAACTTATAACATCACATAATTTCCCCGAAGCAACGTTCATTATCTACCAAATTAATCCTTG